TAGTAGTAGTAGTAGTTGTTGTAGTAGTGGTAGTGGTAGTGGTAGTAGTAGTGGTAGTAGTAGTAGTAGTGGTAGTGGTAGTAGTAGTAGTGGTGGTGGTGGTAGTAGTAGTATTTAGTAGTAGTAGTAGTAGTAGTAGTAGTAGTAGTAGTAGTAGTAGTGGTACTAGTAGTAGTAGTAGTAGTAGTAGTAGTAGTAGTAGTAGACGTAGAAGTAGAAGTAGTAGTAGTAGTAGTAGCAGCAGCAGCAGCAGCAGGAGCAGGAGCAGTAGCAGTAGCAGCAGCAGCAGCAGCAGTAGTAGTAGTAGTAGTAATTTAATAATAGTAGTCTTAGTAGTACTCTTATTAGTAATAGTATTAAGTCGTACTAATGCAAGTTAGACGCTGTTATGTAAGCCCCCAACACCAAGGCTGCCATGGAAACCTTCCCCACACTCCAATGCTGCCTGGGCGCCTGCGCAAATCTCATTGACGCTGTCCGGGGTCTTCACACCCCCAGCGAAGAAACTGGACGTGACAGTGTTGAAGGAAGCAGATGCCCAGCTGAACTCCTTGCTGGGATCATACCTCTTCCGAAAGATTGCTGGGGCACTGTCCAAGCTCAGTGCATACATGTGAATCTCGTCCTTGGCCAAGCTCAGCATTGCCATGTCAAATTTGCACTGTGGGCCCAGGACTGTAGACAAATGCTCAGCCAGCTCTAGACGCACTTTTCGTTGGGCTGCATGGGCTGCTGCCGACGCTGAGGACAACACCACAGCCACCGGTGTGCCATCGCCACTGCCCTGGGCAACTGGGTCGGCTGGGTCAGCTGGGTCGGCTGGGTCGGCTGGGGCAGCTGGATCTTGAAGACGTTGGGCGCCAGGAAGAATGATCTCCTCAATCACCTCCTCAGCCACCCCCCCTCCTGCAGCCAGCACTGCGGCTTCAGCAGCATCTCGGGCCTCCAGCGCCTCCACCGCGGCAATGATTTGCTCAGCCATCAGCCACAAACGCAAGGGGGCCAGCGACACGAAACAAAGCAAGTTTGAGCCACCACTACGGGCTCAAATCAATGGTAAATTGACCCTTGGCCGCTCCCTAGTGACCCCTCAAATTAAAAACCATCTCTACAAGGGTGATCCTAGTCCATCGAAGGGTCCCAAGCCAATAAAACCTGATCCCCCACACCACCCCCACAGCGCCCTCGCCTGATTCTGCAAGTCAGGATGCAGGGGCGAATGAGATCAAAAAAAAGGCTGCGGGAACAGCGAGTTGCAGTAAAAGAAAAAAACAAAAAATAAAAAATACTCGAATTGCCCACGTAGATGAGTAAGAAGTGGTTTATAACTATGTATGCCCCGAGTGAAGCGTTCACTAAACTTACTCAAACTAATAGCCATGGCCTCCAACCTAAGATGGATTGCCTCCAAGGTGGATCATATACTACTTCACAAACAATGGGAACCGGATGCATATTCTCTTCCAGTACAGTTTCTCTGTCTACTAAGCTCACCCTTGCACCTGTATTGAAGCCTGTGCTACAGTTCGTCAACAAAAATCCACCTAGCACTTTGTGCTTCTACGGTTGAAGGTCCTTTGATGAAAGACAGCAAAACGTACCTGAGGCTCCTGACTCAAGACCTGGAGGGCAAGCATAGCCCGGTGGAACCTCCACACGCGAACGCTGTCGAAGGCTCTCTGTTTGCCGTCAGCCGTCATCATCCACAAGATGCTCCCAACGGTCAAGCAAAAAGAGTAAAGTACTAGGAAGCTACTAGTAGCAAGGGCATCGATACTAGTAACAAAGGGTATCGCTACCCTGGCCTTACTACTAGTAGCAAGGACGCCATAACCTAGAATACCAACAGTCTCAGCACCCTCCTTGTTCCCAGTTCGTCCCCAACAAGCAGGGAAGCTGAGAAGAAATACATTGGTCGATCCTAGTCCCACGAAATCCGCACAAACACTGAGGTTGTTTCGCCTTAGCCTTTCGACGTAGGATGACAAAGCAATTCTTTTCCCTTGTGACTACCCTGATTACCCCCGCTATCGTACTTACTAGCAAACATTGTTACTACTAGCGTGGCACTTGTTACTAGTAGCGATGCACTTGTTACTAGGAGCTTCTTGTTACTACAGTGGCAAAGAATGGATCGGTGATTCCGAAGATGCATAAAACATGCTTAATGTCCATCGAGCAAACCCAAGAAGGTCGCAGAAGTTGTTTCAAGGTGCAGCGTGCTTGCTTCTTGCCTCCTTCCAAACTCCCTGCAACGCTACAAAGCTGACTAAAGCAGTACGCCAAACTCCAACAAGAAGCTAGTAGGAACAAGTGCCACGCTAGTAGTAACATCTCCAACACAGGTGACAGAAACCATTTCCAATCGGCCGACCACTTCCTCCACGCCTCCTGCCACTCCTCAGTGGGAACGAACTGCCGGAGGCCATCAGGGCGCACCTGGGCACTGTGCGTTCTCTGATGTCCTACCCTCGGTCCTGGCATCTCTTCGGCCTCCTGTCTTCCTAGCGATGGCCTCCACCCTAGTAGCTTCTTGTTACTAGTAGTAAGGCCAGGAGCCCCTAGTAGCGTCCTTGCTCCTAGTAGCGATGCCCTGTTTTACTAGTAGCTTCTTGCTACTAGTAGTAATGGTCTCCAAAATGACAAGTGGCAGCCGAACTCAACGAAAGAAGCAGTTTGCTTTCTTTCTGGGGCTCTGTGCGGGGCTCTCCTCTTCCTCTGCTTCTCTGAAGAGGTACCACAACCTTGGTCATGGGAACCACACGTTCACCATTCGTGGAAGGGCTTCACACCATATCCTTCACACTTTGAATTCTGTGTTTGTTCGGAGTGTGAAGGTTCCACACGAAGGTCACCGTTCCAAAGCAGTCGAAGCGGTGGGATCCTTCTAGAAGGAATCTAAACCTGTGTTTTTCAAAGTGTTTCGTGCTCGAGACATCTTGCCTCGGGTAGCGTCGCTACTAGGAGCAAGGATGCTACTAGGGGCTCCTCGCTACTAGGAACAAGAGTGAGCCACTCGAATGCGCTGGTCGGCATGGTATAATTGGTCTGCTCAGCGAGCTTCAGCGAGCTTCAGCGAGCTTGAGAGTCATGTTCTCACCGAGTGGCAGGAGACTTCCACATGTTATGCCCGTCAGCACCAGCAAGGCCGCTCGGCCTCGACCCTGGAAATCGATGCGAAACGGTCCGAAGGCCAAAAAGGAAAAGACCGAAGGCGATCGCCGCGAACGTCCAGAAACCAGGCAGCCACGATGGAGCTGTGCAATCATTTCACATGCCATCCTTAAACAAGAAGCTATTAGAAACAAGTGCATCGCTACTAGTAACAAGAAGCTATGGCTTTGAAAGTTCTGACAGTCTGCGGTGTGGATGTCCGGACGCTTCAGAGGCAAAGCATTGATCAAGTGATTGAAGAAACCTCACATCCATCTACCTGAAGGTATTGATAGCATCTCCGGATAGATTCAAATTCATTCCTCGAGCACGCTATCGGCCCTACAACTGTTCCTTGAAAGAAATACGATTTCTTCTTAATCTGAACCCAGGGAGGCCTTCAACGAAAACGAGTCGGTATTCCAATTTCAAAACGACCTAAGACTTTGATTGAACGTCAAAAGAAATTATCAGCCTTTCATCTCCATTCCAAAGAAGCTACTAGTAAAAAAGGGCATCGCTACTAGGAGCAAGGATGCTACTAGGGGCGCTCCTGGCCTTACTACTAGTAACAAGAAGCTGCTAGTGCCTCCTTCTCCCTGCCTCGAGTGACAGGCTCCACATCAGGTAAAGCCAAGTGCGATTTGCATTGTTGGTAAAGCCAGGTGACCGGCGGGACCGTGTTTAGGTCAATCCGGGTTCACAGAGTGGAGGAGTGACACGATGTTTGACGAACGCCATCATGAACTCTAAATCACTTTCCACTCAGGCAACGTTCCGAACTGAACTGGGTTGGGTCGATTTGTGAAGAAAACGCGAGAGGTTTCGAAGAGATGCGAAAACCAATTACACCGGTCCGGTAGATGTTTGATCGCATGTCCTCCAAAGGTTTTGCTACCAAGACCAGGTTCCAACATGTTCCACCTTCATTCTTTTACGTGATCGTGATTGAGCAGTGCAGTTGCGGGAACGGGATCTGAATGAATGCGAGGATTGGGAACGGATTACGAGGGCTGAGGGCGATCGTGTTCGTGTCACTTACCTGTCTCCCTCCAGACCGTGTGGGTCTCAAAAACTCACGATGAGGCCGCTGTGAAAGCAACTGAGCAATGCAAAAATTCTTGAAGCCAAATCTGTTTCCTCTCAATGCAAGTACAAAATAGGGATAGCCCCAAAGTGATGCCCAGTACATCTGCATGCTTGGGTTTCAAGTGTATGCGGTATACCGTATGCTAGTAGGTTGGAGGCTACTAGTAGCTCTTGGCATTACTACTAGGAACAAGAAGCTACTAGGTTGGAGGCCAAAAAAAAACTTTTCCTAGGAACAAGGGCATCGCTACTAGGAGCAAGGGACGCTTTTCCTAGACTGCTTCACTAGACAATGCACCGACCCCGTAGACATGGTTGGAGGGCCTTGGGGTGGATGTGTCTAGAGACCCCTAATAGCGATGGCCTCCACCCTAACTTGGAACGGACAAGCACTTGAGGCTTCTTGGCTTTTTGAGGTCACTTGGCATCGAAAGACCCCAAAGTTGGCGAACCTCCCAGGATATTCCGAAAGCTCTCGGAAAAGGGTACTCTTGTTTCAAGGAAAAGTTTCAAACGCATCCTATATCATCGTTGTCAGCTGATGAATACTATGATTGTCAAATGTCTTACGACGCACAACTATTGAGCACAGTTTCTGCGCCTGCGCACCGTGCAAGAAAATTGCTTGAGCAACTTCCAGCACCATTTAGTCGCTTTGTAAATTCATGCAAACGAATTTGCTCTTTTGCTCCAAGAACAGCCACTTGAGAAAACAGGAGAGCAGCCAGTTGTAAAGTTCTTTGATGAGCCTTTTGAAGGGCAAAAGCCCACATTGAGCTGAGGCTGGAGCAATGTCCTACAGGCGCATGACTGCACCAAAACACAGGACAACCAGTGTCCAACGAACGAAGTGAAACTTTGCCTCCATGGTTGAAGATTTGGAGATCTAGAGGCTCTAGAGAGGCTCAATGGTGAGGCTCTACCTCTAGAGGTCGTCATCGATGTTCACGAGGAATGCACCTCGGACCTACCATGGAGCGAAACAACGAGCGTTTGGTTCGCCGTTTGGCGAGGGTGAAACTCATTGGATGCGTTCCACCTGTAGCTCCTGCGGCAAAGCCCGGATCGAGATGCACACGGGCAAAACTCCAAAGGGTACTGAGCAACAAAAGAACGAACAAACCAAAATGCAAAAAAAGGTATCCGAACCCAGGATTTTGATGTCTTGAGACATGTACATTCCTCCATTCCCAACCATCTTCCCTCTCGTCGCCAAGACCCCGCAAAGAGCTGTCAGAACAGAAAACGACCTGACACCCTACAGCCTACATGTCGTGCACAGTTCTTGTGACGTCTACACTCTCTTGGTGTCGGGTCCCGCGTGGACATGAAGGAGATCGTAAAGCGCCCCTGGTGCCCCGTAGATTTCAGGCTCGGCACCTCGGATGACCAGGTGAAGTCTGTGGAATGTGAGCCCCTAGTAGCGTCCTTGCTCCTAGTAGCGATGCCCTTTGTTCCTAGTAGCGTCCATGCTCCTAGTAGTAAGGCCAGGAGCCCCTAGTAGCGTCCTTGCTCCTAGTAGCGATGCCCTTTGTTCCTAGTAGCGTCCATGCTCCTAGTAGTAAGGCCAGGAGCCCCTAGTAGCGTCCTTGCTCTTAGTCGCGATGCCCTTTGTTCCTAGTAGCGTCCATGCTCCTAGTAGTAAGGCCAGGAGCCCCTAGTAGCGTCCTTGCTCCGAGTAGCGATGCCCTTTGTTACTAGTAAAAGAAAAGATTCTGTAGAGTGGAACGTATTGTGATTTTCTCATGTCCACTTGGTGAGGTGTCATGGTGCCAAACAGCTGTCAGGCACTCAACTTTGGACACCGTCATTCAGGCGCCTTTGGGGCTGCTCAAGAAGGGCTGTTGACCAAAGAGGATGCAGTCTCGTAGATGTCATGTTCTTCAGCAGGTTGGTGCAAGTGGATCAGTGAATTCGGGCAAGCTAGCAAATAGGGTGGAGGCCATCGCTACTAGGGTGACTGACCAAAGTAGTGGAGGCTTCTGTGACTTTGCCTTATCACCGCATGAAGATCTTAAGTGTAAAACGGACAGGGAAACCCGTTACTGTCTCTTCGGGCATCAACCACCACCACCCCCAGTTGTTATATATGTCTCAGCTCCAGACCACCACCAGGTCTTTCCCATCCTCTGGAAGCTTCAAGACCGCTCCCACCTTTGCCACGTGGGCACACGAAGCATGCGAAGCGTGTGCGAAGCGTTGGGAACCAAAATAGAACAAAGCTCCTCACACTTCAGGTTCCCACTCGCCTCGCTGGCAGTGGAGTACTCCCGGCCATGAGCGCTTGAGGCTAAGACCTGTTGAACATTTCGCTAAGACAAAAAAACAAGAGTGATGTGGTGAATGTAGGAGTCTGCATGAAACACATTTTGACATGTTGTTATCACAGGTCCTGCAGCACCATTTTTGTGCATATCCGTGCATATAGGTGAAGTGCTATGCGTGCCAGCCAGCACCTTCCAGGGCTAGAGCGGCTGGGGATGCACTGGGCTTCACGTCCCCACCTCATGGAAAGTGGGGTTCTCAGTGACCAAGCCATCCTGGCATGCGGGCTGGTGAGCTGAGGCAAATGAAGAAAATCTTGCCTGTCAAACCTCAATCGCTAATACGTTTAGGTTTAGGTATCTGACTCAAAAAAGAACGAATCACTCAGACAGAGCAGAAAAGAAGACATGGACGTTTTTCTATCTCCAAGACTAGATCTCCAGTCCTCCTCGCCATTGTCGGTGTTGCGGATGATGTGAATAGCAGCTGGACCGGCCTGCCGAGCATCTATTGGTTCACTTTTGGGCCGTGGCACGTAGCGCGATCTCAAAAAGCAGGTCCGCTATGTTCCAGGTAGCTTTTGAGTTTTGATACCATGCTTGCTTGCCACTAGTAGCGATGCCCTTTGCTCCTAGTAGCGTCCTTGCTCATAGTAGCGATGCCCTTTGCTCCTAGTAGCGTCCATGCTCCTAGTAGTAAGGCCAGGAGCCCCTAGTAGCGTTCTTGCTCCTAGCAGCGATGCCAGGAGCCCCTAGTAGCTTCCTTGCCACTCCATGATATGCAGGGATTGTTGGCCCTCGCTGAACACCTCACCTTGGGACGCACGTGCGGGGTGAGGATCACGACCTCGGTGAATCGAAGTCGAAGTGTCGCAAGTGTCGAATCACTTCAGACCTGGTTGTGGAATCCAGTTGGATTTGTTGGAGGCCATTGCTATTTGGGCGGAGGTCGGAAAACAAACTATATATTTATATCCAGACGGATTTGTTTAAGACAATGAGTCTTTTTAGCCCACGTGTTCGTTCATACGTAATTTGCGTGTTTGAATAGTGTTTGTTGCAAATTTGCTCCAAACATGTGCGCTTTTTCGTGCCTGTGTTTGTCGTTTGATATAAAACACATTGTAATTACGACTTCCGAGAATTTTCATTGCGCATTCGCTTGTACTTGGGGTTTCGGGTGTGTGTGTGGACAAGATGCTTGCATGTTGTTTTGTGCACACATGTATATCTCGCACGGTTCTCCAGAAGCTCAGAAACGTTGTTGGTCCCGTTAGCTATGTTTCTATACTTCAGAAACTCTTCTGCGCTACGCCACACAATGCGTGCGGTGGGGTGGGATGGGTTGGGATGTTAACGTTCAGTTCTAAGTTCACTATGTGTATTCGTTTAAAACAGCAAAACAAACATAAAGCGGTCAAAGGAAACGTTGTGTTTTTCAAAAACGTGTCACTGTCTTTAATTATACCCCGCGGGATATATGATATTGTGTGTTTCATGTGTAACTCATGTGTCACTCATGTGATGGTGGAATGACGTGACGCAAATTCGTTGACAGATTTCATGGATGAATATAGCCCCACGAGTCCTTCAATGAAAGTCCTTTTGCCCACTACTTGGGGTGATTCCACCTGGTAAGGAAGAACAAATACAGAGAACCCACGCAAGACACAATTTCTACCCTTTTTGAATAAACCTTGTCTACTCTCATGCCTAATTCCGTGGCGGTGCAAGTTCTGGTGGTTTCTTTGCTTTGTGAAGAAGGTGCTTTTGTGGATCAACAGGCAAACTTGACTGGAGGTTCTTGAGTTTGGTAAGCTGAACTTCCGCTCACCACCCAAATGACCTCAAACATTGGAGAAAAAAGGACAAGAGCTCGCTCTGGAGCCTCTTACACCCACTCAAGCCTGGTCCCAGCCCCACCAAACGAGAAGACACCAGCAAGGGTGGAGGTGTCTCCAATTCCTGCACCGCATCCTCGCGGTTGGAGACGACTTGAGGTCCAAACGTTTGGACTGTGAGGCCCCTTGTTCCTAGTAAGGCCAGGAGCCCCTAGTAGCGTCCTTGTTACTACTAGTAAGGCACTTGTTACTAGTAGCATCCTTGCTCCTAGTAGCGATGCCAGGAGCCCTAGAAGCTTCTTGCTCCTAGTAGTAAGGCCAGGAACTACTAGTAGCGATGCCCTTGTTACTAGCAGCGTCCTTGTTACTGTGAGGCAGTGGAGAGACAAAAAGGCTGACGGAGGAACAAAACGCTGGGGTTCTTGAAATTCCTTGCTTTACCTTTTGTCTCCAGGTTTTTTGTCCTGTGTTTTCCACTTCCACACTATTAGGATGAAGGCCAGCGGTGGTAGGTTCGAGTAGAGTCTATTGCTTTCCACTCAGTCGCTAGTAGGTTGGAGGCCATCGCTATTGGGTTGGAGGCCATCGCTATTGGGTTGGGGGCCATCGCTATTAGGTTGGAGTCCATCGCTATTAGGTTCTAGTGCATCGCTATTAGGTTGGAGTCCATCGCTATTAGGTTTTAGTCTGGGCTCATCAAAATGAGCGCGCCTACAAAACTAATCCGCAATCCTGCTAATCCAAAAAATGCTTGTAATCCGAACAACCCTTAATCCGCAGTAGTCCGTAATCCTTACCCAGCCTTACAATCCGTAATCCTTAAAACCTTTAGGAAGGAAAGAACCCAAACTCCTGAATGGGGGGCTGTTGGCTTGGATTTATAAATCCAATGTAGGGATCCTCGCAACCCCGACTTGGAAGCCACTGAATTGGGGATTCTGGATTGAAGGGTGTTTGTGGCCATCGGGATTGTGAAGGGTGCTTGTGGCCA